GTTTTTTATTACTGTCCCCGATTGTGTATTTAATATGCCATACCATGCACTTATTCGCTTACGTTCAATTACACAGAATTATATGTTTATATAGATATATGTCTGCATGCATACTGCTAACTTCCACCTACTCGTCTTCTTTTAGTCGGATTACACATCTTTTCATAAATCTTTTTACGAAATTATGAATTCTAACAAATCATATTGGTCATCATGTTACATATGAACAGATGGACACTTGAGGTATATATAAACATACATGGAGTTGTCGAAGATTTGTGAAAGAATGTGCGTGTTTGTGTGGGTAGTTAAGGCAACATGAAAAACTAAATTCCTAATGTTACCTGTTTTATTTCGATTTTGTCTAATTAGACTGATCTTACAAAAGTTTTGCTTTCAAAACACAACTATTTGCAGACACACACCTATAAATAGTCACATCTTTATACTCTGATAAAAATAATACAAAGGTTTTGTTAACGGACAACAACATTCCGATGACTTGGCAAAAAATGTGTTTTTCTAATCTTCAGAAATGTTCCTAAACGTGTTCGGGATGAAAATATTTGAAATAGATTAGAAAAAGGTTTACATGTTCGGTAGGGATACATAAAATATGAACATAAGGTTATGTATAGTTGCGTCCTATTTTCAGTGAACGGTATATTACAAAACTAATTAAAACTGGGATTCTGTATTCATTTACATAGACCGCTGATAAAAAGAATGTAAATTGCGATAAATTATTTTGAAATATTTATTTACTAGCTGAATAATGCTTGGATTTCTATTTACGTAGTCATCATTCCATGCAACTTTCTTAATATTTTATATCAGTTTATTGATACTGACAATCAGAAAATAAAAGACAGAGAGCACATTTAGTTGTTTGATACTATCCGAAGTCGGTTTAGATCTTATATCTGAGAGAACATTATTATTTCAACAATGATGGTATAACTGAACTGATATAGTAGTCACCTAGTTGAGCTGCTGTAACATGGAGATCGACATTAGTATGTCTTTCCTATTTTACTGTATTTATATCCAAAAGAAACTTTAAAGTTAGTCCACTTTTTTGTAAAGGGCAAAGGCATATGTTAGTAGGGAGTCTAAACATAACGTTTTAAAATATATATATTTATGTATAAGCAGATTAAGTATAATGGGAGAAAACTTTGATTATCTGATCATATGTATCTTTATTGTGTTATAATATTTAAGTCTTAGCACGTTACATCTTTTTTTATCTTTTTATGCGATATGTGAAATAATCTAACAAAGAAAAACCATCAGCATGACTCGTGTGTGGATCCAAACTTTTGCACAGTGTGAGGAAATTTAAAAGAAATAAGTATAAGGATGGAAATACTTATATCGGTAAAAGTCGAAAAGTAAAGTTTAAAAGAGAAATATACTAAACGCAGCGAATGAATTTAGGAAGTATAGTGTAAAGTAATGCTATGTTTAAGAGTTCGGCACAATAAAAAATTGTTTATACGTCAATGATAACATGTAATCATTTTAGCGATGTTTCTCATAGTCTCTTACTATAGATTATGCTTTACGTTTACTTCAAGTAAAAAGGCCTGTATCTCCCAATGCATCTTAGATTGGAGTCAAGGACTTCATAAACCAACTAAGTATCTTGTTTTGACCACCTATAAACGCTTTCATATCTAACTGATGCTAGCAAACACAGCATCCATGGTGGCTATGTTTGGGTTTGTGTCACATCCCCTAGACATAAATTAGTCAACCAATGCACCACTTTTACCTAGTAAATTCTGCCTAATATCAGCACTACACAATTTTTGATCGCTCTTCGACTCAGCTCAAATGTCAATAAACAATGTTTGGTGAGGAAACCTCTTGGACAATATGCTTAGTACGTGTTTCAAGCCTTCGAAGCTGATGCTCTCAAATGAAAGCATTTAATAATGAACTCCACGATACCCTAAATTATATTACTGAACTTAAGCATCACTTACACAGTGCTGCCACTGTGTACGGTAATTCAAGAAATAGTTTTTTAAAAACAGTAGTTGCCTATGCTTGGTTTGGAAAAGCTCTTTTGCAAAATTATGTAACGAAACTTTTTAATTGTGAGTCTTACAAATGATATTTTGAGAAACGATCGTATGGTCTCACTCTATCGAACATATCTGTAAAAGGCATTGATGAATATCAAGATATTGGTATGATGAACAACAAAGGTTTACCATTTTCTACAAATACCATACTGTTCCTGACACTTTAAAAGGGTTATGTGAATCGCTTATTTCTTCTCCTCACTTCATGTTTTGTGAAATCTCGATGAACATGTCACAAGAGATTTGTTTATTATGCGAAAATTTACGATAATTAGATAAGCTACTTGTAGGTGGCATGAATACTATAACAAACGCGGTAATGACGGCAAAAAGATCGATTGATTTTTACATTCGTGAAAGATATATTTCCTACTCAATTTGTTTTGAATCATACAAACGGCTTGTCTATGACATCTTGGATATAACACTGTAGTGTAATGGTTCATTGGTTGCATCGATTTAGGCGATCGAGTTACTTAATTATTGCACCAAACTGATCTGTCAGATCTAAACATAAACTTTTAGGAAGAAATCTGATAGTTTTAAAATGTTGTGTGAGGAAGTTTATATTGTCCATTCTAGTACTTGGCAATCATAATTTAATTAGCATAATATTACCCAGAAAAGTTTTGTAATTCTGCTGTCTAAGCTGACACGACACAGCTTATAAAATATAAAGCTACGTATCTTCTCATTGACCTCTTCGTTACTTTGGCATGATATTTGAGAACATCTTTTATGGAGTTAAAAAACTCAACTTTAATTCCATTAGTTTATATATTTTAATAGTTACAAACTACTTCATACATCAACTGCTGAAACATCATTATATTTTTAAATTCACTGCACAACATAGGGATATGAATTGAAACGGTGATGTTTTATTCAGCAATACTAGATTTGCTAGGATCCAATATTTGTTCTATCCTTTCACTGTTCAACCTCATGATTTGTAGATTTATCTCTTTTCTTTATTTTCTATAATACTTATTATTTTCATCTTTTCAATCTACAAAAAATTGTTGATTCTTTTTCCGTCTTAAATTATTCTGATTTGGTTTTCATTACTCGCATTTTCTAAAAATTTAACATTGAGCCTTATTTTTTAATATGATTTGCTTACTGATTCAGGCCTAACGTTTTTCTCTCCCGATCAAACTAAGCGAAACGGCAAACTGTGAGTGGAGTTCTGTTAATCGAATCAATGTAACTACAACTGATTTATATTTGTAGGTCAATACAAAGTTTTTGATTATTTAACTAAAAAAATATTTCATTGAGGTTAGCTAATTGTTTTTTGCATTGAGTAATCGATATTTATACTATTTCTTTTCTTTCTATCGGCCATATTTTCAATATAATATAGGTGGGTTTGGGTGCATAGTCTAGTGGTTTAAACCAATAAAACAGGTCTGCACAATTAATAATCTCCTAATCGATAAAAAACTAAATTAAAACACAATTATTTGAATGAAGAACACTGTTTTCAATTATTAGAAATTAAGTGACTAATTTTGTTTTGCTCCTCACTGATTGTTATTTACTGAAGCCTATTGTTGTTCTTAAAAGTTTTGATGATCTGTCTATTGAATTCAAACTTCTGTTAGACTTATTTTGTCGACTAATCTTATGGATTGAACATATTAAAAATATTTTTGTACAAAAAAACCTTTGCGTCATGTATCATTTGATGCTATCAGTTTGTCAATAATTCAATTGTATATCATTGCGTTTGTTGACCTTGAAATACCTTCCACTACGGACTGTGATCAGTTGGCGAACTACCTAAATCTAGAAGATACATGGCAGATATTGCAACATAGTTCACAACTTTTCATCAGCATACACACAAAACCAAACCCGAAATCTTAGGATTTCTTAGCAATTACTATGTAACTAAGGAAATGAATAACCTATATTTTCCAACTTGTCTCAATTCATGACATCACTTATTCGGCACCCCTTTCACTCCTTAATGTATTAACTCCAAATATGCTGCTGTTTTACTGGGACCTTATGAAGTATATCCCAAAGCCAATTATTAGTAGGCAAGAAAAGTATTTTATTGGCTAGTGAAATAAATCCAGTTAGGCTAGTCCTTACCAATTCTGCGAAATTCTTAAATGTACTTTGATATGATTATGTTTATTGAAATCTTCTAAAACTTTTTCTATAATATTTTACCCCGAAAGCATACGTAGAAATAAGCTTCAAGTCAATGTTATTCACTTATTGTTGTGTTGTATATTAATATGATGATGATCATTCAAGTCTTTTTTATAGTAATCAGAGAGTGATTTGTTTAACCTGTTGACTTTCAACTGATAGTTTAAAGGTTTGACTTCAGTTCGGTCTAGGGTGATATGAATAGTATTTCTAATCTTGAAAATATGTGTTATTCAAAATCTAATATGCGTATATAAAGTTTGCATGTTGAATTAGCAATACACTATGAAAATCTATTTTTTACTTAGCTTTACACTACTTGAATAACAAATAAACAAACTGATTAGTGAAACAGAAAACCTTTTATGCCTTTAAAAGCTTAATTATAGATATCTCAGAGAAGAGGCTCATCAAACTTTCACAATAATTTCGTGTGTCATACTCATGTTCTGTGTTAAAGAAATGTTTTACTGGTTATCTCATAGTTTCTATCAAAATAATTAGTTTATTACCAATTATTCAGTGTATTAGACATTCATTAGATGAAAACACCTTTCAAGAAACCTCAGAAATAGAACTTGTGGAAATTTACTGTCTTTGATAATTTAAGCTGCACGGTTCAACAAAAACATATTTCCAAATACCAATTTTAAAATGCTTTTACAACCATAAATTTTCAAACTTTTTTATCAAAACAGAAAATCCCACTATAATTTATCACAATTTTCTGTAAAATTCAAGGTGTTGGAGCATTTGGCAAAGTATGGCTTGTACGCAAAAAGGATAATAACCAACTATATGCCATGAAGTTATTAAATAAAAGAGATGTTGTAGAACGCCGACAGTTAGCTCATGTACAAGCTGAAAGAGATATTCTAGCTGAGGCAGATAATGAGTGGGTCGTGAAATTGTTTTTTTCATTCCAAGATTCACGAGCACTTTATTTAGTTATGGAGTATATTCCTGGTAAGAAGTTAATTATTTTTGATGTATTGCTCAGTTTTCTTTTCGTATTTTATTTCATGAAAAATGTAACTCTAATAAATACCTAAGTGCCCCAAATGAACTTTTCAATGAGTTGTGTCATGTTTTTGCAGCAAGCGTGGAATTATTCCTGGAATTTGATTGTTAGGTTTAAGGTCTCCAATATCAGTTAGCATTGTGTTGTGGATGAAGCCTACAAGTATATTGTTTTCTACCATATTCAAACGAAATCTCTATTTTTGTTAAGTCGTTTCCGTTTTGTATCACAATCTCACAAAGATTCTTTAAATATTGTTTAACTGGTAATATAACCGGATATAATTGATCCATGTCGAGAACTAACCACATAAAGTGAATTATTTACTTGATTATGTTTAATTGGTAACTTCATTACGTTTATCAAGTCACCAGTGGCAAGACACTTGCGCCTTGTTTGTTTTTCACCATCAATAATTCTTGGAACCGTGCAAAACATGCACACTGGCTTATCAGTAGGTAGACTGGAGAATCCAGACTAATTCACGTCAAGATTTATAGTTAGTGAAGTAACTATAAGTAATCTAACTGCTCAGTTGAGTGAAAAAAAATGTTTTATTCCTTGTCTTCAAATTGATTTTGTCCGACAAATAAATCTGGAATATGTTTGTTTTCAAAAACTTTTTTACTAGTGATTCTGTCTTTGTTAGAGAACTAGGTTGCTTACTAGTCTTTGAAAAAAGGCACTGCAATTATTAATTAACCTAAGCAGTCTGTGATATCTCACCACGATTTGACTATCATCTTTCTGTATGACTTATTTTTGAATGGAATGTACAGTTTTGTTATCGAATTCGATAAAGAACAAAAATCTGATTAATATATCTGACCATGTTTGAAATGTACAGTAATTTTCAAATAAATATACTTAGTTATATGCACGCAAAATATAATGTCATAAGTGCATCAAAGGGATCTATGAACTATTCTTGAAAGGACCTAAATTTCCTCCATTAATGTATAACTTTAATTTTCCAGAAAAAATTGCCAGTCTTAGTATTTATCTGATTCTCCCTATCTTTCAAACATGTTTTGATTATATAGGTGGTGATATGATGTCATTATTAATTAAAAAAGGTATTTTCGAAGAACCGTTAGCACGATTTTATATCGCTGAATTGACATTAGCATTGCAGAGTGTTCACGCTATGGGATTCGTTCATAGGTTAGTATATTTTACTGCTTAATTATTTTTGTTGTAGCTACAATGTATTTTGACTTACTTTAGTTTCGTTCATAGAAATAGTGTGGTCAAATTAGTATATTATGTCTTTGCATCCAACATTAGTAGTTTTGTATTTAACTGAACCTCCAATACTATTGGGAGTATTAGTTTGGGATTGAACGTACGAGAGAAGCAATTTGTAATTTACAAACAATTTGTATTATAAAATATTCTTTCATATGAACTGACCGTTGGAAGTCGGTCAGGATGTTCTGATCATTTAATTCTATTGGCAATTATGTTTACTTTCATTATGAATGACTACTTGGATTGCCAGTTATAGTGAAACTTTAGCTATTCGTTCCTTTTAATGGATCATTAATGATCATTTTATATGTATTTACGTTTTTGTGATTTCGACGACTTGGTTAATCTGGTTAAGATTTAGAAACCTATGTTGGATTTGTTCATAGGTTGAACAAGCGTAGTACTAAAAAAGTGGTTTTCTTGATTTTGGACTGTTATCCTGGTTAGGTAATTTTTAAAATGAAATCAATAATCCTGAAGAATTAAAAGTTGGAAAGACCGTTGTGAATTTTAGGCCATTGAATATATCGCATTGATCGGGTAATCACACTTCTCATTTTCGGACACAAGTCCTTTCAGTTACTGTTTTTTAATCTAATTCATCGTTAGTACAGTGTTGTTTGTTTTACAGTCAGACATAAATTATTGTCTCCACAATCATTAACTTGTGCCATAAACTCAGAGAGTTATGAATGTTTGTAAACATTTGTTTTATCAACTTGGAAAGTGTAAAAGTAAAATAAAACTCTTACTAGATCATAAAATGAAAACATTTCTTACTATCAACAGAGATGGATGGTGGCTAGCGGTGGAATCCAAGTTGCCTGTTTCATCCCATTTGGGACTTCTCAGCTGGATGTACTTGCACTCCGGATGTTCTTTCGGGACTGACTAATGAATTTCTTATTATCTTTCGCATCTTTTTTTGAGTTCTCTGATTATTCTTCTCCAAACTAATTCCTGTTTTTTCTTGTTATTGTGCTACAAATGTAATAATGTTCCATTTAAACCTTAGATAGACGTTCACTTATTCTCATGTGTATAAATAATACTTCTCCGATTCTCTTAGAGTATACAGACCTGAAGGTAAGTTAGTTGACGAAATATTTTTCATAACCTTTTTATTTTATTGTACCACCCAACTAAAAAAACACAAACCAAATCAAAGTTTAATAGTTAGAACTGATAATTGAGTTCTAGAAACACTAAAGACTATGAACATTGCTCGTGAGCTTCAGAGCAGCGTGATTTTTTTAATGAACGGTTATTTTCTGCTTTTATAAAGGTGAATTTAAGTGTTAATTAGAATTAAGACATTTACTGAACTGCTTTACTCATAATTGACAAGTGGAACGTAACTGAATCTCCTAAAGAAAAAACAACGGCAGCTACTGTTAAAAAAATCCTATTCCTTTTACTGAGCCTCTGTTAACTCCCATCACAATTTAGTGTCATTGTTATGTGCAACTCAAATGTATTGTCTCATGATGTCACTGTTCTCATATGTTAGGCAATCTGGCAGCATACACATCTTTTAAATCTCATTGATTCTGCTAACGATGAACCATCGTCATGGCTATTATATTTAGTTTGATTATAAGGTTAGTGAAGAATTTTACATCACACTTTTATATTTCACACACCTTTTTCAGGATAGGTTTATATCCTTGACATGTTTTTTAATATTTTATATAAACAGAGATATCAAACCGGACAACATTCTCATTAATCGTGAGGGACATATTAAATTAACAGATTTCGGTTTGTGTACTGGCTTTCGCTGGACACATAGCTCCAAATATTGGGATTTAGACTTCAATATACCTTGTTCCTCACCCAGCCGTAATAGGATAAATCGAGCTAAAACAGCTGAACCACCTGAGTCAACCAAATTAACTGAAGATCAGATCACGAAAAGCTGTAAAGAATGTGATGAAGACGATGTTACAACTATAGAAAAGGAAGAGGTTGGGGTACCGGAACAAGTGCACAATTCTCGTCAAACAAATGGTAAACAATTCACAGCGTTAAGGGCGGTACACCATGACAAAACACTTGAAAGGCGTAGGAATAGTTTTGCTAATCGCCGATGTGCACAATCTTTAGTTGGAACGCCGAATTACATCGCACCAGAAATTTTGCGCAGGCAAGGTAAGTTGTTAAGGATTATAATCATCGTTGGTTACTTTATCTTCTGGTAAATTTATTATTTTAATTCTGATTAAATACTAAATAGGAAACCCAACAGTTTACCAATTATTTGAAATAACTCCAGTAATACTATTTAATATGTCAGTCAATTCTTACTATTATATATAATTTATAGATTACGGACAAGCCTGTGACTGGTGGTCAGTTGGAGTGATTTTATACGAAATGCTTGTTGGACAGCCTCCTTTCCTAGCGCAGACAGCGGCAGATACACAAATTCGTGTTGTCCAGTGGTATAATTACCTTAAGTTGCCCGGTGAGCCACGTTTAAAAAAAGATGCAAGTAATCTTATACGTCAACTCCTCCGAGATCCATCTGATCGACTATCTGATCCAGTAAAAATAAAATCTCATCCTTTCTTCGAATCAGTTGCATGGGATAAACTTGTTCAGCAAACGCCCCCATACGTTCCAACAGTAAGTAATCGTTTGAAGTTTCATTCCTTTGTAAAATCGAGTGGAATTGGCAGCAGCAGTGATTATACTAGTATAAGTAGTACTAGGATTATTATTAGTAATAATAAAAATAGTAATATTATAACTGGAAGAAGCAATATTAGTTGTTGTAGTATTAACATTAGTAGTACTATTAGTATATATTATTGTAATAATTGCATTAGTCCCTGCCGTATTCATAATCGCAGTGTTAGTCGTAATCATAGTTGTAGTAATATTAGTACTAGTAGTAGTAGAAATACCGATAGCGGTAGTAGCACTTGTAGTGGAAACATTATTAGCAGTAGTAGTTGTTGTGGCAATGGTAGTGTGGTGTATGCCACTTTTGTCGACAGATATAAGTAGTATGTAGCCGCAGTTTGAAGTGAAATGCCTGGCAGCTGAAGATTGAATTGAACAGAACAAAAAAGAAATCACTGAGCAATCAAAGTAATAACAGGAATGAAGGAACGATGAAGATGTGCACATGATTTTGTTAATGTATGATTTTCATCCCCACCAAGTCTTCGTTCATTACAATTGATGTCTCACGATAAAGATCCAATGGCTGCGAGAGTTTGAGAGAGGAGATATTCTAAACTTCCTCAGGGAGTTTGAGGCTGGCGTGAGGCTGATGGGTGTGGAGGAGCCTAAGGCAAAGACGCTGATGCTGGGGACGCTTCTGAGAGACAGGACGAAGGCTATATGTGACAACCTGGAGGGAGCTGGCAGGAAGACTACATAGTAGGTGGTCACAGAGTTCGACAGCCCGGTGTTTAAGCAGGAGACATTGCAGAAGTCCCGATCGTTGAAGTTGTCGGCCGAGTCAACCAGGTTGTTGCGTCGTGTACCACTGAATCGCAATTCATCAAGAGCGTGGCTGCTGCCATTTCCCAACAGGTGTAATTGATAATTGTCACACAAGCCATAGATATCATTGAAATAGCAATAGTAACCAGACAGCTGATGACCCAAACAGTAGCTCCGGTTGGGTGCAAAAGTCAAGAGGTAGACAGTGTCGGGAAGAAGATAACGGAGCTGCAGAGTGAGATTGCCGCAATACGAGCGAATGATAACAGGAATTATAAATGCTACACTTGGGGAGGAACAGGCCATTGGAAGATAAACTGCCCAACAAGGCAAAAACTCAGAAATTTTAGACTATAATTCGTGTTCCTTCTATCTAACGAAACTGAGGATCGTTACGTTAGTAGGGAGGGGCAGTCTATGTGAGAGTAAGAATAGACGAACGAGAGCTGGAATGTCCGATCGATACAGGAGTAGCAGTATCATTAATAGACAAAGTGCAATCTTATGAGAATTAAGTCATGTACGTGAGTTGTCCACACCATTGAGGGCCACATGTTAGAGGTTTTAGGAATGTCTAACAGTATCGTAAAAGTTGGTGGTGGTGAGATAAATTTCCCGTTCGTGGTAACCACAAGCCTACCAAGACTGATATTAGGAGCAGATTTGCTAAGAGAATTAGAAGCGATAATTGACTTAAGAAGCAGGAAGGGGGTCACGAAGTATGTTTCATTCGCAATACATGAAAGTAGCGAGGTGGCTGAGATAAGAGTAACATCAGACGTCTCTGAAAAACAACCGAAAATTATCAAGTTGCTCACAAAGTATACGAAGCTGTTCATGGGAGATGGAGAGCCATACCGATTTTGTGATAAAGTAAGGTATGAAATCCCGATAAAAGACGATGCAGTGCCATACTTACAACACGTGTTCTTATGCATTAGGAGGCTAAGGTAGATCGATAAGTTTGGGAGATGTTGGAAGATTTTATTTTATTTTAACACATAGATATTGGTACAAGGAGGCACCAAATACATATGCGCCACACAAATCTCATTTGATATGTGCGGGGGCTATGGTACTGCCCGGGTGCCCAAACCGAAGCAGGTGGTTTTCTTAGGGGGGCCACTCCCCGAGCCTTCGACCTGAAGGGTCTGATCCACAAGGCAGTGGAGCATCGTAAGGAGATGCAGTCCCATGGTAGCCGGTGACCAACGATTGGTTCATACGCCGTTTGTTCCCACAGAATACTAGAGCCCATGTGCACCATTGATTCGGGATCCAGTTAAAGCGCCGGATATTCGCTTTTCGTCCTCTCATTTTCGTAAACAACACCCCCGCCACGAGAAGGCAGTGAGTAGGAATTCCCTGGCAGAGGCTATATACGTGTGGCCATGTGAGAGCATTTCGAGAGGGAGAGCGGACTCTCCCCACTCTCGACCGTACCAGGGCATTCGGGGGCGAAGTTGGAAGAAGGTATAACTGGGGAAGCGGACAGCTCTCCGGTCTTCTTGGTAAAGAAACCAAATGGGAAGCATAGATTCTATGTCGATTTTAGAGAACTGAATAACATCAGAAACCTGGAACCATGTGTAATGCCAACAATAGCGGAAACATTAGATCGCCTACAGAAATGCCACAGTCTTTAAAGTGCTGGATTTACGGTCAGGTTATTGGCAACTGCCAATAAAAGAGAACGATCAAAACAAGATAGCATTTACCGTACGTAAGGAGCAAGATCAATTTTGACGAATGTCGTTTGGATTGGCAGGTGCACCGTTCATGTTCAGAAGATTATTGACGCTGCTGTTCAGGGACCTAGAAAACGTAGAGGTGTCTGGTGACGATGTAGTTGTGTATAGCCGTACGGATCAGATCATATAAAGCATTTTGAGGTGGGCCAAAAGCGGATTGAAGAATAAGGACAGGTCGCATATAGCGGAAAATAGTGTCACTTTATTGGAGCACAAATTGGGGAATGGAGAAATAAAACTACTTCCAAAGAAGATCCTAACCATAAAGAATATTGTGGTATCCGATTTGAAAAGGGAATGAGAAAATTCTTGAGGAGTGATTAACCTTCTAAAGTCGATTCGTCAAGGACGTCTCCTCTATATAAGTTGCTAAGCAACGTGAAAAACTTTTGACTGAATTAGAGACCTTTTAGACGATCACCAGATGATGTTGAGACTGCTATAATCCAATAAATCATTTGCAGTGGCCACAGGTGCAAGTGATCATGATATAGGTGCCATCTTAAGTCATTCTGCCAGTAGTGGAGTACGTGAGTCGTGTGTTCACACTCACTGAATAGAAGTATTCAGCAGTCGAAAAGAAGTATTTAGCAATTGTTTAAGCGGTAGTCGAATGGAGACTGTACCTACTAGGTAGACGTTTTCACATCGAGACTGATCATAAACCCTTACAAAAGGTTGAAAACAGCTAAAGACTCTCTTGGTAAGTCGGCGCAATAGATGTTACGTCAGAAGGAGTACGATTTTATTATCGGATATGTTCCAGGGGAAAAAATGTAGTGACGAACTACTTGTCATGGTCGGACATAAAAGCTGAGCTTCCACTGACAGCATGCTCAGTAAATAGCCTAAGGAGAGACCCACTAGAACTTCCCAGGTAGCAATAGGATGACCTTAAACTTCGAGAGGTAATCAGAGTGATAAAAGCGGGAGAATAGGTCGACAAACGGCTGATGGACAAGGAAATAACAGTGTTGCCTTGGCAGAAGGAAAGGCAGAGGATGAACGTATACAGAGCCCTGACCTAGCGGGATGATGACGAGAATCGGGTGGCGGTAATCCTGAAGGACCTGCATCACAAGATGATTATGAGTGCTACCAGCTAGTGCATACAGTTATCGCAAGGACGACAGATTTATTACGACAAACTGCGTACTGGCCAGGTGTGAGAGACGATATTGCACAATATGTATTAACTTATCAGCGGTGCCAACTAATGAAAAGGGATCTATATTTACCACCGCCATTGCAGTCAGTCCAAAAAACCTCAGTCAGTGGATGCAAATGGAACCGCTTCCATAGACGGCAAGTAATAATTAGTACTTGCTAGTTATCGCACAACATGCTACACGTTGGCTAAACACCATTCCCAATGCAGGTCAGCGGACAAGAGCAGTGACTGAAGTGGTAATCCGGCACATTTTAGCGGGTCACAGAATACCAAAAATGATTTTAACCGACCAGGATCCCTGTTTTGAAAGTGACGAATTTAAAGCCAGTCTAGAGCAGTTAGATACCAAAAAGATAGGAATTACACCGTATCACCCATAGAAGAGCGGATTAATATAAAAGAACATGCAGAGGTTAAAGGGATGGTTAGCGTCTAAAGGAGGGAACTGAGAAAGAGTTACCATTAATTTCGCTGGCGCTTCCTTCCTTTGTACAAGGAACAACTAAGAAGTCACCTTTCTAGCTGATATATGATAGAAAGCTGCGGCCACCAATACATAATAAAAGCTGGCCACATCAACAGAGTTGAACTACAAAAACGATTATCGGAACGATTACAAGGACAGTTTATTAATGGAGGACAAGTGTGGTGTTTGCTGCTTATATGAACCGATATAAGTAGCATGTATCAGGCATTGGAAGTAGAATTCCTACTGATAGAAGAGGAAAATGAAGAGAAGAGAAATCAGAACTGAAAACAATCGAAATCACAACAGGAATGAAAGATCAATGTAGTTTGTATGAGACAACCCAATAAAGATGTGCAAATAGTGTATATGAATCTTTGTTTCCATATTTGACAAAGACTATGCAATTTTGTATAATACAATTGTTTCTCCTGCCCAAGTCTTCGTTCATTACACATGTACACATATTTTTTTCGATTTTAGATTCGTGATGAATTGGATACATCCAACTTTGACCCAGTTGACGATGAACGTACACTTTATAGTAGTGGGAACAATCATAGTTTGGATTATTCATCGGCTAACAATACTCAATTACCATTTCCAAACTTTACATTCAAACGATTTTTCGATCGCGATCCAACCACTATTCAAACTCCGTAATCTCACTTTTCTGATTCAGATTCCTGGCTTTTTTTGATAATTCATCTGTATCATTACTAATGATCCATTTTTAGTATCATTGTAATGGAATCATAAGTGGCATTTACAGAATAAGTCATATATAATTTAACGTACTTCTTGTCTTATCCCATGCTTTTAAGCAAAACTCTATGCTGTACAGAAAATTTTATACTTTTTCTGTTGATTCTGCTTTGAAGATATGTTTTATTTAACAGTTTTCATATCTGAATATATTTCTCTTTATATATATTATCTTCCTGGGTTTTGTCAATTGACAGTCTCAAATTCACTTTGTAAAATTCATTTGTGAAGCGTTAAATAATTACGGCAGTTTCACAAATAATCGATATAAAATACATATTGAATTGAACTTCATGAGTAGAAATGCAAACGCGTACAATTTTACCACCTTTTTTAAAAATGCATTTAGCGTTTTAAACAGTGGTTTTATCTGCACATAATAATAATAATAATATATATTTACTAATGTCTACAAGTTTAGGTTAAATAATTATATAATCTTCCTTGGGATATTTAACTTAAATTCACCGCACCAATTTTTATTTAGTTCGCCTACCTATTTATACTAATGCATATGCGTACATTTATATGAATTTTATTCTACGGAGGAGATCAAATGATGTTTCGTCCTCACTCTATTGTTTCTTTTTACCAAAATATAGCTGATTTTGGTTTTAATTTTTATGGATAGAGTTTATGTACACTCACCAATGTTCCTATAAAAGAGTAAACAAAAGTATGTGGAGCTAGATACTGGCTCAAGTTGACTACACTCCCGTTGATGATCTAGTTGATTTAAACTTACTAAACTAATTTGAAAACAGTCTATTTCTCATCAATGTCATTCACTATCTTACGTGTTCAAAAGCACACCTTCATATGTGTGTAAAACCCAGACCATAATACAATTAGGTACATTCAAATGAAACCCAAGCGTTTTTCGGTTTCTTCGCGTTATTAAGTGCGTGATGGAGATTTTCTTGACCTTATAAGCATCCTGCTTGAATATCTGGGCTACCTGTTCCTGTCATCTAAATATTTCAACAAGTTATCTATTTTGTTTGCTTCAACAAATCATTATGTCAATTAATTTCACAACCTATTAAGGTGCGTTTGTGAGAAGTTCATGACCTTTCACTGTACAGGTTAGGAAAGAGCACAACCAGAAACATTGTTGTTGCTGGCAATATACATCGAAAGGAATGTACATTATTCAGATGTCGATTCCTCAACTGCTAACATCTAATTGGCGATCACTCGATATTTATCTTCAGGATCGACCATGAAATAAGAAACGGAAACTTGTTGAAATACTTTGCACTGAGAATTCTATATTGTACCAAAAATAAAACATTGAATGAAGCTAATAATAATAAATATCACCTACCAGACACATATCTGGTGTTTCGTTTGACATACCCATTAAAACAGGCTTTTTTAACACTTCTTTATGCCTTACAAATAGGTCAGAACTCATATCAACTTATCGGTTTGCGTATCTGCTACAGGGCAAGCCTTCCATTCTAATCTTCCATCTTAATACTTACATAATCGTTACTCCGAAGTCATTTACGGGTAAGTAGCTTCTGAGCAACTGACTGCTAGTCCTTGGAGTGTTCTTGTCGCTCCCGCTTCGGAGCATGTTTATGAATCTAAGTACTTCAAAGATGTTATATCTGATCAATCAGTATAATGTGCACAAGTACTATCTACTTAAACAGCGAGATTTGCTTGTTGGAATCGTGAATTAAATTGGCATCGTTCTTTCATCAATAGGAATATATTTTCCATAAAATAACATGGACTTATTGTATTATTGCTGATGGACTTACGTATTCCTACATCGAATGTACACAGGCTAACAGATTATTTGCCTTGATAAACCTGCCTGGTTGTCAGGACTCACTACAGTATTGTCTACGACACCCTATGCATTATCTACTTGTAAAACAATCAAAAACAAATATGAATAGCTCGAAAGTTTATTTTCATTCCTTATATTAACCTGTATAAAAAATGAATCCCAGCAGATCAGTGTTTTCTTATCGCGATGATCTTGTTGACAAGCTCTCCTGCTTCATTTCAAACGTTCACAAATCGGATGATTTGTACATTGTGATTCGTTTCCAAAGTGTGTTAGCTAACATCGGAAAACTACTAACAAAACACCTTATTATTCATAACAAAACCAATAAAAACAGCCAATCGCGACGCAATATTGTGCTCACACTAACAATACTGTGAAGTGAAAGTAATGATGGTGATAATAATAATGGTGGTAATAACGGTGGCATTGGTTGCTGTCGTCGTGCGTGTGTGTGTGCGCTCATCATTCTGTTTTAATTTCCAGGGTTGTTAGTTTCGGGTTTTTTCGACCTTGCATAACTGTAGGAAAGTCGCCTGACAAATTTGCAATATGGACCTCAACCACGGCGAGAACTCTCCACTTACTTTGCAACCACGATCACCAGTATTATTATATTTATCCTTATTATTATTATTATTATCATCCTTATTATTATTACTATGATCGTGATTATTAATATTATTATGCACATAATTATTGTTACTGCTATTTCGTTTGCCGTCTGCTCTTCAGAAGTGCTTTTCTTGAATCACCAATAGAATTATTTATGTGCGTGCGTCAGTAATTAAAAACTTACGGCAAATGCTCCTTTGTAAACTGATTGTCATTGCTCTTGACTGATATAAAAAGACTTTACATTTGGGTAGGAAAAGTGAATACAAGCCACGTAGTTGTTAATCAATAGCCTGTGTATGTTGAAAATCGGTGACAAAAGTAATGTATAACACGGTCGGGAAATTAGTCAGTCAATCATTCAAGTTAGTAGTGAAAATTGATTTGGTGGGCATAAGCTTATGACAGAATAAAAATGAAGAATGTAAGTAAGGATCAAGCAAATGACCAGAGTACAAGTAGGTGCTGCACGAACATGATAAGATAAGAAGGACGAACTGGTTTATTGATGCACTGCTTTTGAATGCCTCGGAATATTACTGATATTTTCACGAGAACTAAATTTAATATCAACTGGACGGTAATTCTCTCGAAATTGAGGATACAGTATAGACGTCTGTAATAATAATATATCAAGTGACTTTTGTTAATCCTGGGTGTAAAATTACCAGTGACCATACAGTTTCATTGATCGACTTATTCACATCCGTGTTTCTTTTTGCCTTTGAGACTTCGAGTTGTGGTAGTTCCCCATGCCTCAGCTCCGTATAACAAACCGTCTTAACATCTGTATTGCAAATTTTGACTTTAATGTTGGCTGACAATTGTTATGAGTCCTAGATATTCTTCAGTTGTAGGAGTGCTGACCTTGCTTTGTCAATCCGTGCTTTCACCCCTGTATTAGATCCACCTCGTTTATCAATTATGCTGATCAGGTATGTTAAAGCTCCCAGCTCTTGCAGAGTTTATCCATCAGGCGTGATTAGGTTTGTGTTCCCCGTGTTGTATTTGAGGATATTGGTTTTACATTCTGCATGTTGAGGCTGCTGCTACATTGGTTGTCTTCATCTGCATTTGTTGGTGTGTATGGGAGGAAGAGCTAGATCGTCTGTGAAGTCTAAATGGTCTGGTTGCATGTAAGCTGTCCACTGTACTCCGTGCTTCCCCTCAGATTCGACGATCTTCATAATCCAGTCGACAACCAGAAGAAAGAGAAAGGGGGAGAGTAAGCAGCCTTGTCTGACTCCGGTCTTCACTAGGAATGCGTCTGTCATCAGTCTTCCATGCACGACTTTGCAATGTAGTCCGTCCTAAGAGTTCCGTATGATGGTGACGGTTTTCTCAGTTACTCCATAGTGTCGAAGATTCAACAACGTTCTCCTATTCACGCTGTCAAGGAATTTGATGTATGGTGACGAATTGCATTCAATTGATTGTTCAACGGTGATTCTTGGTGTCGCAATTTGGCCTGTGCACGACCATCCCTTAAAAATCTGGCCTGTTTATCTCAAATTCTAGCGTCTACTGAATCTTTCATTCGTCTCAGAAACACCCTGTTTGAAATTTTGCTTGGTACCGATTTAATTATGATGCCTCTGTAGTCCTCAAATTCGCTCAAATCCCGTTGCTTTGGTGTAATAGAGTTAAAGTCTGTTAAAAAATGCCATGCTACAAAAGTGTGAGTTGCAGCATTTTTATCGTGTAACACGTAGATTACGCAAAGTATAGACTAAGGCATGCTGTCCTATTTTCTTACAGCTTGGTAGCACCACATCAGCTAATCTTTTCATAATTAACCCATCCTTACTTAAGCGTATTTAAACAATTAAAAACTCAAGGCAAACTATGATTTTCTTCCAACACCGGGCGGCCGAAAATGTACAAACCAAGCAACCCAGTCTATGCACTGACGACAGTTATAAGATTTTCTTTTCCAAAACCTGGGTGCCCTACACACTAACCTCCCTATATCGTCTCTGGTGCGTCAGTGGCACCAATAAAATCCTACTCGGAACTCTCCTAGAAATTGTGCTGAGAGCTATATGTGGTGTTTGAATGAACTAATGATTCCTTTGCACTTGTTGGATGCTTGATTTCGAATTCCAAATGCAGTACATTCGTTCGTGCTTATCTAGTACTTCTTCATCCGATTACATTGTTTCTGGGATTCTTAGTTCGCACTATAATTCAAATACTCCTAATCATACTATAGCCGTTCGATTACAGGAAATCAAGGTCAATCTCAATCCTCAATGCTTTTGGCCCACAACCTGGCTTTTTCTACAGCAGTATTAAATCGAGATACTCTCACACATTTTAACTTAGTATGCCTTTAGTTTAATATGTGTCTATCAACTCTTGGTCGACCTTCAGTAAAATGATGAATTTAGCCCTGTTTGTATTCATATATCAACCATCGTTTGGAATGGTATCTAAAGCATCGACTAACAGTAGCATTTTCGACTCAAATATATCTCTT